CGAAAGCTGGCTAGCCCGTGCTATTTTTACTTATTGAAAAAAAAAAAAAAAAAAAATCAATACTAGGAATGACAATAATGTTGGATATCTATTTTTTTTTTTAAATTTTGCCGGTTTAGACATTGAAAGTGCATAACTTAATGTTTTAATTGTTTAGCCATGTAATTAATATTTAGTACTTATTAGTTGTACTTATTTTAGCATGACTTAGTGGTTTTAAATTGTGTTCATTTGCATTATGACTTATCAATTAGCAAAATTTATTTTATGCGATTTCATTATCTTCATAGTCGAATATTTTAGTACAATGCCATGACTCATCTCACATTATTTTGTGATATTTTCTTGAGTAATACCTTGTATAGTTGCATCCTATTAGGATTTAGGACCAAAGAAATATTTGGAGTACAAGTTATTTGTTTTGTGCAATAAAGATTTTACTGGGAAAACCCCAAGAAAATCGAAAAATATGAGAAATTGGAGATTGAAAAATTCAACTTTTATTGGTTTAATTGGTTTATAAATTTAAAAATCTGACAGAGTTGATTTTGATTTGATAATTGAAAAATCACGGAGTTGATTTTGATTTGATAATTGAAAAATCCGAAACAACCCGACCTATGTATACCCTTACTGAACAACATATAGGAAAATCCTATAAAAATGGATGGCAAATTAAGTAAAAGTCTTTTAAGAACTTTCGTTTACAAACATGGATAGAGCAAAGTGCACTTCTCCATTGTCTTTCTTCTCAGTCAGTTATCGGGGAAAACGTTACAATCATTTTTTGGTGTTGTTTTAATAAAAATATGTATATTATCTCGATCTAACTTGTAAGTTCCTAATATTTAAGTTAATTGAAAACAGCTTTTACAACTTGCTAATTTAATAAAAAATTGTATTACAAGATTTTGCTTAGTATCAAGACTAATTGATATATCTAAGTCCAAAATTCCAAAATAATGTCCCAAGAATTTTCTTGTCAAATAAAGGTTTTGCAAGTACTCTACTATAAGGTTTACCAAAAAGGGTCATATGCCACATCTTGGAAAAGATCACACTCGACAAAGACTTATGAGGAATATGACAATTTGAATGAGAACATAGTGATAAGCTTTTTAGTACTTTACTATAATATGATTAGAAAGTGCCTTTGGAAAAGGGTTAGCATTTTTAGTATTTTATGATTAGAAAATTATTATCTTGTCCCTTTCTATTTCTCCTTCGTGGACATCGTGTGGCTATCGCGTTTGGTTTGAAAAAAAGGTTTAATTTTTTTTTTGTGTGTTAAAATAATGTACATTTGATAATTTTTACCAAAAAGTTTAACTTTATTTTTTACTTTTCAGATTTTATTTTTCAAGTTCTTAGAAAACTTGAATAACATCTTTTAGCAATTTTTCCAATTTTCCAAAAACTTGATAAACATTTTCAAAATTATGAAGAAAAAGGGTAACTTTTTGAAAACTATGGCTCTTATCGCTCGTCGAAGAAATAATGTAATGGTGAAGCTAGAAATTTGTTCAAGGGTGTTCAAATTTAAAAGAAGTGAATTTTTTTTTTGATAAAGGGTGTTCAATATATGTTATATACCTTTAAAACATAATATTTTACTTATGTACACAGTGCAATTTTTCGACGAAAGGTGGTCAGTTGACCATCCTTTTGACTATGTAGCTTCGCCACTGCTAGCATGAAACATACAGATTCGTGTGAACCCAGTAATTTTTAGCTTCGCCACTGCTAGCATGAAACATACAGATTCTTGTGAACCCAGTAATTTTTACTTAAACTTTATATATGTATTTACAAATTCATTAAACATCTATAAAATACCGTCAAATAAAAAGTGGTTTGACTCTTTGAATTTCACAACTGGTGTGAAATCAGAAATTCAAAAGGCAGAATTGCAAATCAGCCGCTGTTTTAAGCTTCATATTTTATAGTTATCTGATTTAGCTAGTCAAACTTCCAAAATCTCAACAACGAAACCTTCCATTCATTCTAATAGGCCAAATACACAACCAAGTACCAACTCCGTTGAATTTCCGTCTCCGTTATTTTACTTTTCTTTAAAGGAAAATAACTAAAGTAGAAAGAAAAAAAAGGTAGTTGAATTTAGTGTAATTAGATTCTATATCATTACCGTCATTTATAACAAGTTACTCAACATTTTCTTACTTGACTTTCG